TCCGATCTTGTATGGTATGTTGTGATATTTTGATATGCAATTGGGATTTCGCTAGATGATTGCAACCCATAACCGTACTCACTAGCAGCGAAAACCATAATGTCAGCGCCTTAATCATAGTCGGAAATATAATAGCGATATTGTATTCAAACGAAGTGACAAAGAACTTATATTAAACTCTAGTTGATGTTTAGGCAAATCCTAATGTTTTGGTCATAATATCTTGTATTCATCTATTAAACAAAATTCCCACACTTTAAATAATTTCTATACTTGAATTCTCAAAATCCGAACTTTACAAAACAACATTCCCCTATGTATGGACCTAGTATTTTATTGGCACTTGTACCCTTGCAAGTTAAGCCTGATCCAAAGATTTACAACAAACTCAACCCACGACCTTGGACGGCTCCAAATAAATGGATCAAGAAAACATCTGTACATGAATTGGGGGGGGGGGGGGATAGAAGGATCATGTTTGTCTGAATAGCATGAAAAATTTCGGAAACCACTCCTCACAACCGCCCACTTTTCTTTGAAGGATACACAAGTGACCAAAATTTTATTAGAATCGTGACCCATTATTAACATCTTAGCTTTTTGAGCTACGAAAGACATTGACATTTCAATTCAGGGACTATCTCAAAGATGCTTGATGATCCAGGGCCGCAGTCAAGGGCAAGGGTGTAGCCAGGAGTAAGACTTGGGCTGGACTGGTACAAAGAATTTTTACAGATAAATTTTTACACAAAAATTTTTACATTAAAAATATAAGCAATTTTAAAATTTGGGCTGGGCCGTGGCCCGGTTTGCCACCCCTCCACCTCCGCCCCTGGTCAAGGGGGCAAAGAGCAACTGAGATGATAAAACTTGACTTAGTCAAAAGTATATTACAAGCAAACACTTTATGCGATGTTATTGATGCCAAAATTTCATTTTCTATTAGGACGTCTATGAATGCATGAAAATGACGCAATTCCTTATACGTGTCACTAATGCTTTATGTATGTGGAAAAAGGGTTTTCTAAAGTAGGTGGTGGATGTTGAAACTCCATTCGCATAAGTTAAGTCCTGCTTTGCATATATGGAGTTTTACATAATGGCCAAAGTTTTTAAGGGTGATGTGTTGATGTTCTTAAGAAAAGCGATGTTTATAGTTATTTGATTAAAACAAAGTTGAAAGAAAGCTTATTGAAGGTGTGGAAGGGCTCACATTTGACATTTCCTTTTGTAAAGGTTGAGATATCAAAGTGCCTTCAGAATACACCCAAAGAGGAAATGAAGAGCAATTATGATTATAGATGTTCAAGATCATGTAGTTCTAGTCATTAAAATAAAGATGGTTAGGAGATAGGTCAAGCGACGTCCATAATATAATGTCCAAGACATCAAATAAAGATGATCGGGATACGTGGCTGAGAGAGCTGTATGAACTTGAAGTCGTCAAATAAAGAGTACTGTGAGGTATGGAGATCAATATGAACTCCTCGTCATCAAATAAAAATGACTAAGAGGTGTATGGTTGGGGGGCTGTATGAACTTCGTGTCAGCAAATAAAGATGACTATATGATTGAGGGACCTGCATGAACTTCGCGCCATCAAATAAAGTAAATAGGAGGTATATCAGTATATGACCGAGTGTCCAGTATGAACTCCGCATCATCCAATAAAGATGACTAAGACGTCTCCGAGAGGCTAATATGAACTCCGCGTCTTGACATAAACATTACTAAAAGATAAATGTATGAGGGGCCAATATGAGCTCCACATCATCAATTAAAGATGACTAAAAGGTATATGCTAGATGGGCCTCCATGAGCTCCTTGTCATCAAGTAAAGATGACTATGAGGTATATGGTTGAGAGGTTTGTATGAACTCTGCATCATCAAATAAAGATGGTTATAAGGTATGACCGAAAGACCTATACGAGCTCCTTGTCACCAAATAAAGACTAACAGTAGGTGTATGGTCGAGAGGCCAACATGAACTCAAGGTGCCTTTAGCATTTTAGCCAGAGCCCGTAAGATATCCATAATGACCTGGCATCTAAGGGGGATGGATACAAGTCTTGCAATAAAGATAATGATCGCCACCTGTAAAGACAATTGGCGAGGCTATGGGGGGGGGGGGGGCTGTCGTGATAAAAAGGCCAGGCGCAGAGGAGCATGTCATTATGTGAGGACGAGGCAGTGAGTATTTTGTTATATGAGGACATCAACTTTAAAAGGTCGAAGCGAAATATAAGGACGACGATGTTGAGGACCCGGGCTGAATGTGGAGACGATGTGATGAGAGCCTGTCATGATATGAAGGTGATGGTTGCCATCTGGGAAGGGAATGACAGGCCTGATTGCTATAACAATACTTCTGCGTTGAGGACCCGATCTTGAGACAAAGATGATGATGATGATGATGATGATGATGATGATGGAAAGGCCATTTATAAAATAGGGACAACATCGCTGATGAACCAGTCCAAAATACGATAACAAGGCGATGAGGAGACGGTGGTAATATCAAGGCAACACTCGCCATTCGGGAAGGGAGTGGCGAGCCAGGTCGCCAGATATAAGGACGGGCATGCTGAGGCACCAGTTTGAAATATGATTACGATGCGGTGAAGAGTCGGTCATCATATGCAGGCGACGATGCGAGAAGGGAATAGTAAGATCAATCGTTAGTCAAGATGTGACGAGAGCCCATTGTAAGATAAAGACATCCCCGCTCACGGATCGGTATAAGTACAAAAACTCTAACATATATTGATGGGTCGGTCTTGAGATAAAGGTTCACGTTGTAGCTGAGGGGTCGACCGTGATATGAGGACGATAACATTGAGGGCTGATCTGACATAAGATGACTTCAATTTTCTGACTAAGCAAAGGTACTTCTTGACTGAGTTGAATTTGGATGGAATGAATGCTCTATTTTAGCCGAGGTGACCCTGTCTGGGACGAATACCTGCTTGGCCAAGTTAAAGCTCCTGTTGCTTCTTAAGGTGTGTGTAAAGCTTCCACTTATGGGTATATGACAATGCCTTGGTGAATCTTTAGATGAGGGTTGCCATACTCTACTTTATTGTCTTTTTTTGTTTATCCTGGCTGAGGTGAAGCTTCTATATACTTAAGGCTGAAGCTGACTTTTCACCTGTTCAATTTTGAGTGTAGTGATGCCCTTGGTCGAGGTGAAGCTTTTGGCGACCCTAGGTCGTCGTTAAAACCTCTTGCACCTTATGGGCCGAAGGTGGAACCCCTATTTGCTTCGAGCGCGGAGTCAAATTAAGGGTAGATATCTGAGGTGCCTTAGGGATTCATCACTTTGGCTAATGAGTCTCCCTTCCTCGTTTGTTTTGACGAGTGGGTGATCGGACCGATTAGCTCCTGCTACTATGCTTCTGGTTGAGGTGATGGGCGTCCTAGCCGAGGGGTAAACTCGAGAGAGGTAGATGATGAGGCATCAGATGTGGTTGCCTTACCTACCCTTGGTCGCTGATAGGTGGAGTTGTGTGATGACAAGACCACCATCAGATTTGCTTGCGTGAGGCCCTAATTCTACTCTCTTGTTGTTTTTTCTTAATATGTTCTAAGAAGTTGTCCCGTTCACTAATTGAGCCGAAATGTTATTCGACGAGGGGTTATGGTTGTCCTTGATTGGGGTGAGGTGCTTTGATGAGGTGCAACGACGCCTCATTTATCTGAGGTGTTGTATGTTGGGAGGATTTCACTTGATGTGTTCTACATCTTATTGAGCAACAAATGATAAATTATTGTCTCAAAGAATAGAGATCTAGAGAGAGAAAATTATAGCATAAATGATAACTCATCTCTTACATGGCTCCAAAAGGGGTTTTTATAAAGAAATTAAGGGTTGTGCTTCCAGGCTTGGGTATGCAGACACAATTATAATAAAAGACCAATAAATGATACTCCCTCCGTAACTTTTAAATCTTCCCATTTCAAAAGTAGGTAGATTAAGAATAGTGAAAGATGATATGAATTATTGAGGGTATGATGGGAAAATAGTGGAATAATGTGGTGGAATGTAGGATAAATCCAAAAAAAGTAGTTGTAATAGTGTATTATTTTAAGAATTATTGAGGGTATGATGGGAAGATTTAGAAATGGGAAGATTTTTTTGATACGGACGAAAAAGGAAAGTGGGAAGATTTTTAAGTTACGGAGGGAGTATAAAATATATTCTATTCTAATGGGTATATATGAAAAAAATATAGTGTACAACAATGTGAATGTTATCTATTGAGCGCGCATGGCCACTGTTCGGGCCCATTAGTCATGAGACCGGTGATTTGAATCCATATACTTTATTACTCACCATGATAGGTACAAGTAAACTTAAATGCATACAAACTCCTTGCCAAAGCTGATTATAATCCTAACAAACATAAATTGGAGAAACTCATTCGACAAGCTAGCGAAAAAATCTTTAAATTTAAATTTTTATGGACTTTAGATTAAGAAATTCTACACAATTCATATGCAGTGCACTCCTCTAAGGACGTTTTTACTTGGACTGTAATCTGTATCAGACCGGACTAGACTAGAACTGACCATATCAGCCAAGACAAGATCATACTTAGATAGTTAGATAATTATAAAAATACAAAGAAATCAGACCAGACCAATCCAGAACAGACCAACAAATTACAGTCCAAGTAAAAATATCTTAAATATTTATGTAGAATAAGAATGATTTTTTGTAATTAACCACGGGATCTACAAGAGCGTATTCATAAATACGGAGTATGTACAGTAATATATTTCATTTCAAAGTAAAGATTATACGGAGTAGAGGTGCCAAATCAAAATTCCGAAAACTGATTAATTTTCCGAGCGCACTCTAAAAAGCGCGAATCAAAAATTTGAATCTTCCAATCCAACGTCTAACAATCTTCCAGCTCATCGATCCGCGTACGCGTCACTAACCCAATTACATTTCAGTCATATCTCCTATATAATCTTCTCACGGAACATTTGAACCATCGTCCTCAATCGCCCAATTTCCTTCTCTGCAAATAAAGCTTCCCTACACTTTTAATTCATTCTTACTGCGATAACGATGGCGCCAAAGGCAACAGCAGACAAGAAGGTCGCCGAGAAGAAACCGGCAGAGGAGAAGAAGACTGTCCCCGCCGACAAGGCACCCGCAGCAGAAAAGAAGCCATCCAAGGCCGGGAAGAAGGTCCCCAAGGAAGGCGCCGCCGCCGGCGACAAGAAGAAGAAGAGGCCAAAGAAGAGCGTCGAGACCTACAAGATCTACATCTTTAAGGTCCTGAAGCAAGTTCATCCGGACATCGGGATCTCCAGCAAGGCCATGGGAATCATGAACAGTTTCATCAACGACATCTTCGAGAAGCTCGCTCAGGAGTCGTCCAGGCTTGCCCGGTATAATAAGAAGCCGACCATCACCTCCAGGGAGATCCAGACGGCGGTGAGGCTTGTACTGCCCGGAGAATTGGCCAAGCACGCTGTCTCAGAGGGGACGAAGGCGGTGACTAAGTTTACAAGCAGTTGAAGAACAGTTTAGATTGATGGATCTAGGCGAAGTATTTTTAAAATTAGGGTTTGCTAGCATGAAGTGTGCTTCTTTTGGAAGCAGTTGGATGTCAATGTTTTCTGTTTGCTCAAGTGATGAAATTAAATACAATTCTCTGTTCATTCAATCATTCAGCATTTCATGATCAGCGTAATTTACTCTTCCCATTTTCCTAAAATCAGCAGCCTGGGGATTTTTTTAAATCGATTATTTTGTTTTTTTGGCTACTTATCATCTCTTATTCATGAAGATTGAGTACTGTAATGAACTGGTAACAACTAATCAGCATGCGGTAACCTGTCATAATATTACAAAAATTGCATTTCTTTCATCTTTCGTGATTGTTTTGAAACATTGTCTTGGGTTTCAATTTGGTACCTTGCACAAAGAATGCTCTTTTCTATGACATTAGAATGTGAATTTCTTCCACTACGTTTTGCTGTCTGCCATGGACTTCGATTGAGATGAAAGCATACAAGAGCATTTCGGCTGCAAATTGATGAAGTGGACCAAAAAATTCCTAGCCAAACCTTACACTTGCTCAAGTGCTGCATTGCCTGTCAAAAGCATAGGTCCAATTACCCCCAATTTTATCTGTTTTGTTGAAGTTATTTTTGCCAACCCTTTCACCGATGACCAAACTCAACAAACCTAACCATTTGAATAAAAAGACTAACCATACCAAACGAGCATCGTTTTACATTGTACTTCATTTTTTTAAAATTGTTTTGCAAAGTTAACATTTTTTTGGTAAATTAATAATAAAAGTCAATCCTCTCTATCGATATTTAATTCAATTTTTAATAATTAAGAATTACATATTTAGAAACTACATTGAAATCTCTTCAAAGTTGCAAACTCCACATTAGAATATAATTAAAAAATGACATCCTAAGCGAATAAAATGAAACTGTTTAACCAAGAAAAGACAAATTTACAAATCAATTCGGGACGGAGTAGATCGCAAAACATATCATAGCTATAATACTCCGTATTGCAATTGAAGTCTGGAGCACAATAGTAGCATACCACATTTACGGTGTGCTTTCAAAAATTCACCCATAAAACCACAGCATAACTGCAAGTAATGGTGGATTCGGGCCGGGTCGGGTCCGGGCCAAGGCCTAAGCCCGGGCGGGCCGCCGGTTCTGAATAGTTCGGCCTGGGACCGGCCCGGGTAGCTACCGGGTCCGGGCCGGGCCTCGGGCCTTTTTTGCCTTTTCTAATTAACCCCCGACCCCCCTCACCCCCCCCCAAAACACCCAGCCCAACCCGTTGGAAAAAAAAATAAAAATAAAAATGATTTCAGCCGTGTCTCATTTTGAAGGAACCGTGCCCGGAACCGTGCCCGGAACCGTCTCCCCCTCAGGACGGGTCAAAGCCCGGTACCCGGACCGGTGAACCGGGCCGGTCCCGGGCCCGCACAGTAGCAGGGTCGGGCTGGGTGGTCCGACCCGAGTCCACCACTAACCGCAACGAACCCACACCAAGACGTGACACTATTTGAAGCTACAATTATTTATTTAAACTGTGTTGTCCATTTTATTTTTGTGTCTTTATATTTTTATAGTAAAACCGGAGTTGTATTCTTTATTTCAAATAACACATTAAAAATTTAAAACAAATATATGATCTAGTTTGGTCTTGTCTAATCTGATCCGATATGATCTATGTGTATTTTGCAATTATTGAAATCTAATCTGGTTTGAGTCTGTTCAACTCTGATATAAGATCGAAATAAGTCCAGTAAAACCATGTTGGCATGTTTTCTCTAAGAGATTATTGATGTATTTTTTTTTTAGAATATTATTGATGTATTTTATGTAGTGATAAAGTAACATCTACTCGAGTCATGGCGACCCTGGTTGATTTTTTTGGGTTTGGTAACAATTACACTTCTAAGATATTAATGATAACTCACTTTTAATGGCATCATTTTCTAATTGGTATGTTCATTGTTTTTTTATTACCTTGAAAACATTGAACGAATTCACAGGAATGCCCACATAACATATCTCAGCAGCTAAACGCAGTGAGGGGACTGAGGGCAACTCCAACCACGATTTATAACCATTGGTACGACTACTACGATATGCCATTCAATATTTCAAAACAGACAAATTCCCAATGGTCGACTGGTCGAGTTCTCAAATAGCTGGCGCACGAAAAGTACCTTAAATTTAAGTTGAGTTAAAATACGAAATAAAACCTTATTAATGCAGGCATATTGTTGGACAAGGACTTCAACCACTTCTCACCATTAAGAGTACAAAATATTTAGAAGTTCACCATTAATATATGCCGAAGCAAGACTACAAACATAACAAGCAATAATAGAAGATGGGGGCATACAAATACTTGAAAGAGTTTCAGGATGCTGCATTCCTCGCTAAGTCTTGCAGCACATTTGCAATCTGTTGTTCTGATAAGCCTTCCACTTGGAACCCCTTTTCAACTCCCATATCTGTACTCATAAGAAATAATTCCCTTTAGTTCGAGCTTCAGAAAGAAATATCACAAGAAGCTACACATTGAAGGGAAAATGCCAAGGAAAGATAAATGACGAAATATAGAGCATTGAAGGAATGAAAATGGGTGGGGGAGGGGATAAACTTTTGTTAAACTAAACATTTTTGCCATATTAGCTTGAACTCATTTTATTTACTACATATTTATTTATGTGTACTGTATAGAGACCAAGAAGTCTAAGTATATACGTAGTAGAAAATTTTAAAAAGCGTTAATCATATTACTTTTCCGAGCAAAAACCAATCACATGAAATAACTTCTCATAGCATTCCCCCCCTTCACCATAAGAAAATAGAGATGGAGGGGAGACCAAACCTATACCCCTGAGAGGGCATACCTCCCAGTTCCCGAAAACCACCAGACATAAGTCATAGAGCACAGTGGAATGTGGATTAAGGACCTTCAATCTTCAAGTATTACTTGGATATACAAATCAGATCCTATTATCAGCCAGGTTTGAGGTTTAAACTACCTAGAATGCAAACTGATATGTTGCGTGTTTATCCAGCTGCAGTAACCTGGTTTGTTGTACACATGGTACAGCAACATTAAGGCTAAACTAATGGAAAATAAAAGCAGATCCTAGAATCAAATTAAACATAGCATATTTGCTAAGATCCCCCAAATGGCCAAACCTCTATGCTTTGTCTGTTTTACCAGCTTGCCTCGTGCACAATTTAGGATTGGTCACCTTTCTTCCACGACCTTTAACCTTCTCTTATTTTCAGCTATGAACTTTCTGGTTATCTTCCATGACATTTAACTTTCTCTTATTTTAAGCAATGAACGTTCTGGTAATTTGAGCACTTAAGTTTCTAAATTCTCCAGCTTTCTCATTGGGATCCTTCTTTTCACCATCGAATAAGAGCTTTCAGTATCCAAATAGCGAAAATGACCTTGAAGGATCTAAACTGGACTGTCAAAGTTTTCCACTTTTCAGGTAGCCTACTGAAACCATCTTTCTGCAAATGAGGACCAGATACATTTTTCTCCAATTAACTGCCATCAACTTTTTGACCTCAAGGATTAGGAGCCTTTTTATTCTCCGTATCTCCAAAACGTACTGAATTTCATGGGATTTTGACTGTCATAGTTCCAACTTCCAACTGATAGCTATGTTATTTAATCAAACATGCATAGTTACTCACCGAGTACATGAATAGTACTTACTACTCGGCCCTATACCTTGTTGAGTTATCTACCTATCCATCTGAACCAAATAACAGAGTTACTTGGAGAGCACTCTGCAATTCTAGTGACACAGTGAGTCGGAAATAATGTTGTTCTTGAACTAAATGATGATTAAATTATGATATAAAAAATTAAGATTGATAGCATCTGATCCCCAACTCTTTAGAATGAGAAGAATCTGGAATTGGTTTGTCGAGTACTCAAGTGTCATTTCAAATTGATTTTTACTGCAACTCTTATTTTGAAGCATCTAAATTTATTAATGATCTCTAACAGCTTGTATTTTTCTGTAGTTGCATATTTCATTTTTACCAAACCATCCTTCTTGGTTTTCTCCTGGGATTCCCCACACATGCGATAAAATAGTTTGTCCCTTAATTTCTTATCCTATACTCCCTCCGTCCCAAAAACAACTTCCCACTTTCCTTAAATGGATGTCCCAAAATTAACTTCACACTTCAATACTTTCCTTATTTGGTAAATTATCTACATAAAAAAAGTGATAAACAGCGCCAAACAGTGTTTAAACAGTGCCAAACAGTGTTTAAACAGTGCAAAACAATGCACTCTACAGTAAAGTCAAATTTATTTTCTAAAGTGTGTGAAAGTCAAACCGGGAGGTTGTTTTCGGACGGAGGGAGTATATTTTTTCCTAATTTATTCCCCATTTATTCCATCAACAACAAATATAGAATGAGGATTCCTTTATTCCACCAAACTCTTCTCCACTGTATTCCACCTTTATTCTTTTCAGAATACCAAACATGCCAAAAAAATTGCAGCAGATTAGATTTGCTAATTTCCTTCAATTTTTGTTTGTCATTTTCTATCGAAGCTCAGTTAAGAGTTTCATTTAGTCGTCGTCATCATCATCATTACCCCAGTGCCGCAAAGGCTCCGACCTACGGTGGGATAAGGGGGGTCGGATGTACGTAGTCTTACCCCTATACTAAAGCACAGAGATATTGTTTCTATTGTTTGTGGGTGACCCATAGAAGAGTTTCATTTAGTATCCATATTTTTTGAATGAAGACCTCCTCAATATCCTTCCTAAGATAAAATGTTAGACGACGAAATTAGATAGGAAGTTTAAGGGAGGGACACTTTAAAAGAAAAGTTTTTTTTTTGGAGGGGAGGGTGTCGAAGTCAATGAATCAAGTTCAGACGTTTTTCCTAACTCATGCTCTTTACATATCTCTATTATATGAAGACTAACGACTAAAAAATTTAAAATTCATGTAAACTTTTAAATAGGTTTAATCACATTTGATCTTCCTCTATACTATATCACCATAAAGTCAAAACAAAAAAAAAAAACTAAGTTGCTATTTTTTGTCTCCATTCCCTATCATTTTCCAAGTTTTGAACATATCCTATACTTCTCAAAGATTCCCTCATTTCTTCTGATGGCCTCATCCAGTTTCTTCATATTTGCAACTCAATCCAGGTTCACGACATATGAATCGAGATACAAACTCTTCAGAAACCTTGGTGACTCCAGCAATGAATACCAATGGTGAAATGTCAACTTTGATCGAGTGAGTAGAAGTTGACGTGAGGAAAAAAAATTGCGGAAAATTTTGCTCCAAATGCCATGGAAATAACAGTACTGCGCAGGAAAGGGTGGATGAACATCATATGGTGATTCCTGATGAATTAGAAGAGATTAAGCATATGCTAATAGAGTAATAGAAGGGATGGTGGCCTCACAGATTAGCAGAATTCAGATTAGCACTGGAATTTAAGTTATAAAGGTATGGGGGGGCACTGTTAAGTGGTTGCTGTCAGCGGTGAAGTTGAACAAAAAGCTTGGTGATTTTCATTTGAGGAATAAATT